GCATGCTGGAGGGCTCGCATCTAACAGCACGGGAGAAGCCACACCGAATGAAAATACTGAGCGCAGCACACCATCTCGACCGGTGATCCGTTACATGCTTCAAAAAGTTCGAATTAGATCAACTAGTCTTCGATCTACTAAAACACCAAAACATAAAACTTTTTGCATAGTTATGATGTTTTAAAGATTGTTACTTAGTTTTGTAAAATGTTGAAAGTATTAGTGAATTGTCAATGAAGAATGAGAAGATTGTTGAAAGCAAGTAAACATTGTCACGTGTTGAACGACTGTTGAAAAGTTTTGGATGATTGTTGAACGGAAAGTAAAGATTGTTATTCATCAAGTGTAAGAATGATGATTCCATTCGAAGATGTTGAAACCAAAAGTAGCATTGTTCAATTGCAATTGAAAAAAGGTGTAGTGGTAGTTGTAGTGTGGTAAAGGTTGTTATAATAACATTAGGAGTATAGTACAGTAGTATTATTATTACTTGTAGTAATACTGTACAGGATGACCAAAAATCTGTAAGGAAATGTGTACAGTATATTTTTTTTTTAGTCATCCTGTATAGTTATTTAGTGGTACTGCAGTCAAATAATTAAAAACAATAAAAGTGGTACTGTATTTCAATTGATATTTTGGACTTATTATATATTTAATTGAAAACTGAGTGTAAGTAATATACTGTAGGCATACTGTGTTTCAGAAAGCAACATGAAGGCCTCACTGCGACGGTGTTCTGATCCGCTACGATGTCAACACCTATGGGATGACATCACTACCATCCGCAACCATAAACAGTTACCATCATTTGACAGAACCGCGATACATGAGTCGGATGCACAATATGGAATCTGGTTAGTGCTTGTTAGCCCTTAAATGGCAACCATCATCTGTTGAAGTTAATTGTAGGGACAGTGGCCATCATCATTGGACATTAACTATAGGGACAGTGGCCTTCATCAGTGGAAGTTAACTGTAGGGACAGTGGCCATCATCAGTGGAAGTTAACTGTAGGGACAGTGGCCATCATCAGTGGAAGTTAACTACTGTAAAGGGACAGTGGCCATCATCAGTGGAAGTTAACTGTAGGGACAGTGGCCATCATCAGTGGACATTAACTATAGGACAGTGGCCTCATCAGTGGAAGTTAACTGTGGACAGTCCATCATCAGTGGAAGTTAACTGTAGGACAGTGGCCATCATCAGTGGAAGTTAACTGTAGGACAGGCCATCATCAGTGGAAGTTAACTATAGGGACAGTGGCCTTCATCTGTGGATGTTAACTATAGGACAGTGGCCTTCACCAGTGAAGTTAACTGTAGACAGTGGCCATCATCAGTGAAGTTAACTGTAGGACAGTGGCCATCATCAGTGGAAGTTAACTATAGGGACAGTGGCCTTCATCTGTGGATGTTAACTATAGGGACAGTGGCCTTCACCAGTGGAAGTTAACTGTAGGGACAGTGGCCATCATCAGTGGAAGTTAACTGTAGGGACAGTGGCCTGGCCTTCATCCTGGGAAGTTAACTGTAGACAGTGGCCTTCATCAGTGGAAGTTAACCAGGACAGTGGCCATCATCAGTGGAAGTTAACTGTAGGACAGTGGCCATCATCAGGGAAGTTAACTATAGGACAGTGGCCATCATCAAGTGGAAGTTAACTGTAGGACAGGGCCATCATCAGTGGAAGTTAACTATAGACAGTGGCCATCATCAGTGGAAGTTAACTGTAGGACAGTGGCCATCATCAGTGGAAGTTAACTGTAGACAGGGCCATCATCAGTGGAAGTTAACTGTGACAGTGGCCATCATCAGTGGAAGTTAACTGTAGGGACAGTGACCATCATCAGTGGAAGTTAACTGTAGGACAGTGGCCATCATCAGTGGAAGAAGGCTGTAGACAGTGGCCATCATCAGTGGAAGTTAACTGTAGGCCATCAGTGGAAGTTAACTGTAGGACAGTGGCCATCATCAGTGGAAGTTAACTGAAGGGACAGTGGCCATCATCAGTGAAGTTAACTGTAGGACAGTGGCCATCATCAGTGGAAGAACTGTAGGACAGTGGCCATCATCAGTGGAAGTTAACTGTAGGACAGTGGCCATCATCAGTGGAAGTTAACTACTGTAGACAGTGGCCATCATCAGTGGAAGTTAGCTGTAGGGACAGTGGCCATCATCAGTGGAAGTTAACTGTAGGACAGCCATCATCAGTGAAGTTAGCTGTAGGACAGTGGCCATCATCAGTGGAAGTTAACTGTAGACAGTGGCCATCATCAGTGGAAGAAGCCGTAGGACAGTCCATCATCAGTGGAAGTTAGCTGTAGGACAGTGGCCATCATCAGGGAAGAACTGTAGGGACAGCATCATCAGTGGAAGTTAACTGTAGGACATCATCAGTGAAGCACTGTAGGACAGTGGCCATCATCAGTGGAAGTTAACTGTAGACAGTGCTATCAGTGGAAGACTTAGGACATGGCCATCATCAGTGGAAGTTAACTGTAGGGCAGTGGCCATCATCAGTGGAAGTTAACTGTAGGACAGTGCCATCATCAGTGGAAGTTAACTGTAGGACAGGTCATCAGTGGAAGTTAACTGTAGGGACAGTGGCCATCATCAGTGGAAGTTAACTGTAGACAGTGGCCATCATCAGTGAAGTTGAGGACAGTGCCATCATCAGTGAAGCAATCAGGACAGTGGCCATCATCAGTGGAAGTTAACTGTAGGGACAGTCACATCATCAGTGGAAGTTAACTGTAGGACAGTGGCCATCATCAGTGAGTTAGCTGTAGGGACAGTGGCCATCATCAGTGGAAGTTAACTGTAGGACAGTGGCCATCATCAGTGAAGTTAACTGTAGGACAGTGGCCATCATCAGTGGAAGCTTACTGTAGAGGGCCACAGGAACTAGACAGTGGCCATCATCAGTGGAAGTTAACTTGCCATGTCAGTGAGAGCCAACTCACATCAGTGAAGTTAACTGTAGGACAGTGGCCATCATCAGTGGAAGTTAACTATAGGACAGTGGCCATCACTGTGGAAGATAACTGTATGGACAGTCAATATCAGTGGAAGTTAACTACTGTATAGGACAGTGGCCATCATCAGTGGAAGTTAACTATAGGACAGTGGCCATCATCAGTGGAAGTTAACTACCGTATAGGACAGTGGCCATCATCATGGAAGTTAACTACTGTATAGGACAGTGGCCATCATCAGTGGAAGTTAACTACGTATAGGACAGTGGCCATCATCAGGAAGTTAACTGTAGGACAGTGGCCATCATCAGTGGAAGTTAACTAGACAGCACATCATCAGTGGAAGTTAACTGTAGGACAGTGGCCATCATCAGTGGAAGTTAACTATAGACAAAGTCCATCATCAGTGGAAGTTAACTGTATGACAGTGGCCATCATCAGTGGAAGAATCATAGGGACAGTGGCCATCATCAGTGAAGTAAACTACTGTAAAGGACAGTGGCCATCATCAGTGGAAGTTAACTACTGTAAAGGACAGTGGCCATCATCAGTGGAGTTAACTACTGTAGGGACAGTGGCCATCATCAGTGGAAGAACCGTAGACACATCATCAGTGGAAGTTAACTGTAGGACAGTGACCATCATCAGTGGAAGTTAACTGTAGGGACAGTGGCCATCATCAGTGGAAGTTAACTCGTGACAGTGGCCATCATCAGTGAAGTTAACTGTGACAGTGGCCATCATCAGTGGAAGTTACCGTGGACAGGCCATCATATGAAGTTAACTGTAGACAGTGGCCATCATCAGTGGAAGTTAACTGTAGGACAGGGCCATCATCAGGAAGTTAACTGTAGGGACAGTGGCCATCATCAGTGGAAGCCAACTGTGACAGGGCCATCATCAGTGGAAGTTAACTGTAGGACAGTGGCCATCATCAGTGGAAGTTAACTACTGTAAAGGACAGTGGCCATCATCAGTGGAAGTTAACTGTAGGACAGTGCCATCATCAGTGGAAGTTAACTGTAGGACAGTGGCCATCATCAGTGGAAGCTAAATCAGGACAGCGCCATCATCAGTGGAATAGCTAACTGTAGACAGGCCATCATCAGTGGCAGTTAACTTCTATAGGACAGTGACCATCATCAGTGGTAGTTAACTGTAAGGACAGCAATATCATCATGGAAGTTAACTTATAGACAGCATCATCATCAGTGGAAGCTAACTGTATGACAGTACTATCAGTGGAAGTTAATTTATTGGGACAGGCCAATATCAGGAAGTTAACTACTGCAAAGGACAGGACATCACTGCAGTTAATCACTGTATAGGACAGACTATCATCAGTAGTTAACTTATATGACAGTGCGGCCATCATCAGTGGAAGTTAATCAGGCGACAGCTACTACTGCGGAAGCAACCTATAGACAGACCATCATCAGTGGTGTCAACTGCAAGCACACAGTGGCCATCATCAGTGTAGTTAACTACTGCATAAGGACAGTGGCCATCATCAGGAAAGCAACTATTGTAAAGGACAGGGCCATCACCAGTGGAAGTTAATCATTGTAATAGGACAGTGACCATCATCAGTAGTTAACTGTAGACAGGCTATCATCAGTGGAAGCTAACTAATGGAAAGGACAGCAACATCATCAGTGGAAGTTAACTACTGTATAGGATAGACCATCATCAGTGTTAACTTCTAAGGATGACAGTGGCCATCATCAGTGGAAGTTAACCAAGGACAGTGGCCATCATCAGTGGAAGTTAACTCTAAGAGACAGTGACCATCATCAGTGGAAGTTAACCGTATGACAGTAAATATCATCAGTGGAAGTTAACCACGTATAGGGACAGGCCATCATCAGTGGAAGTTAACCAAAGGACAGGTTATCATCAGTGGAAGCACCATTGCATAGGACAGACCATCATCAGTGGAAGTTAACTACTGGGGCGACAAAAATATCAGTGGAAGCACTTCTAGGCGACATACATCACTGTGGGAAGAATCAAGGACAGGCTGATTACTGTGGGAAGTTAATTTATAGGGACAGTGACCATATCAGTGGAAGCAACTATAGGACAGTGGCCATCAGTGGAAGCAACTACTGTATAGGACAGGCCAATATCAGTGGAAGTTAACTGCAGGACAGTGGCCATCATCAGCGGAATTTAACCAGGACAATATCATCATGGAAGAACCAGGACAGCAACATCATCAGTGAAGTTAATCATATAGACCGGCCATTGATTGCGGAAGCTAATCAGGACAGCGGTCATCATCAGTGGAAGTTAATCGTAGAAGAAAATATCATCAGTGGAAGTTAACTATCAAAGGACAAAAAATATCACGAGGAAGTTAACCGTAGGACAGGTCATCAGTGGCTAACTACGTAGCGACAGGCCATCACTGCGAAGTTAACTACCGTAGTTGCGGCCATCATCAGTGGAAGTTAACTACGCATAGGATTAAAAAAATATCAACAGTGGAAGCAACTGCGACAGGCCATCATCAGTAGTTGGCTGTAGACACAGGCCACTGACAAAGAATCAGACAAAAATAATATCAGTGGAAGTTAGGCTGTAGGACAGTATCATCATCAGTGCTAACTGTAGACAGCCATCACTGCGGACATTTAGTGTAAAGGACAGGGCCATCATCCCTTCATCGAAGTAGCTGTGGGACAGTGATATCAGTGGAAGTTAACTGTAGGGACAGTGGCCATCATCAGTGGGGAGAAGTTAACTGTAGGGACAGTGGCCATCTGTCAGTGAAGCTAACTGTAGGGACAGCGGCCATCATCGTGAGATAACTGAGGGACAGTGGCCATCATCAGTGGAGATAACTACTGTAAAGGGACAGTATCATCAGTGGAAATTTAACTACTGTATAGGGACAGTGTCCATCATCAGTGGAAGTTAACTGTAGGGACAGTGGCCGATTATCAGTGGAAGTTAGCTGTAGGGACAGTGACCATCATCAGTGGAAGTTAACTGTGAGGGACAGTGGCCCATCAGTGGAGTTAACTGTAGGGACAGTGGCCATCATCAGTGGAAGGGGACAGTGGCCATCATCAGTGGAAGTTAACTGTATGGACAGTGGCCATCATCAGTGGAAGTTAACTGTAAGGACAGTGGCCTTCATCAGTGAAGTTAACTGTAGCAGGGACAGTGGCCATCATCAGTGGAAGTTAACTGTGGGACAGTGGCCATCATCAGTGGAAGTTAACTGTAGGGACAGCGTATCATCAGTGGAAGTTAACTGTAGGGACAGTGTGCATCATCAGTGGAAGTTAACTGTAGGGACAGCATGCATCATCAGTGGAGGTTCTTAATGGGGACAGTGGCCATCATCAGTGGAGACTGCTGTAGGGACAGCGGCCATCATCAGTGGAAGTTAACTATAGGGACAGTGGCCATCATCAGTGGAATTAGCTGTAGGGACAGTGGCCATCATCAGTGGAAGTTAGCTGTAGGGACAGCGGCCATCATCAGTGGAAGTTAACTGTAGGGACAGTGGCCATTATCAGTGGAATTGTGTGGGGACAGTATGCCATCATCAGTGGAAGTTAACTGTGAGGGACAGTGTGCATCATCAGTGGAGGTTAGCTGTAGGGACAGTCGCCATCATTAGTGGAAGTTAACTGCTGAGGGACAGTGGCCATCATCAGTGGAAGTTAACTGCGGGACAGTGGCCATTATCAGTGGAAGTTAGCTGTAGGGACAGTGGCCATCATCAGTGGAAGTTTACTGTAGGAATTGGGGCCATTATCAGTGGAGATTAGCTGTGCAGACAGTGGCCATCATCAGTGGAAGTTAGCTTTAGGGATGGGGGCCATTGTCAGTGGAAGTTTGCTGTAGGGACAGTGGCCATCATCAGTGGAAGTTAACTGTAGGGACAGTGGCCATCATCAGTAGAAGTTAACTATAGGGACAGTGGCTATCATCAGTGTAAGTTAACTATAGGGACAGTGGCTATCATCAGTGTAAGTTAACTGTAGGGACAGTGGCCATCTCGTGGAATTTAACTGTAGGGACAGTGGCCATCATAGTGGGAATTACAAGGGACAGTGGCCATCATCAGTGGAATTTAACTATAGGGACAGTGGCCATCATCAGTGGAAGTTAACTGTAGGGACAGTGGCCATCATCAGTGGAATTGTATAGGGACAGTGGCTTTCAGTGGAAGCTAACTACTGTATAGGGACAGTGGCCATCATCAGTGGAAGTTAACTACTGTATAGGGACAGTGGCCATCATCAGTGGAAGTTAACTACTGTATAGGGACAGTGGCCATCATCAGTGGAAATTAACTATGGGACAGTGGCCATCATCAGTGGAAGTTAACTACTGTATGGGGACAGTGGCCATCATCAGTGGAATTACTATAGGGACAGTGGCCATCAGTGGAAGCTAACTACTGTATAGGGACAGTGGCCATCATCAGTGGAAATTAACTATAGGACAGTGGCCATCATCAGTGAAGTTAACTTCTTAGTGGACAGTGGCCATCATCAGTGGAAGTTAACTACTGTAAGGGACAGTGGCCATCATCAGTGGAAATTAACTATAGGGACAGTGGCCAGTTAACTGTGGGACAGCGGTATATCAGTGGAGATTAACTGCTTGAGGGGACAGTAATGCATCATCAGTGAAGTTAACAGTAGGGACAGTGGCCATTATCAGTGGAAGTTAACTATGGACAGTGGCCTTCATCGGTGGAAGTTAACCAGTAGGGACAGTGGCCATTATCGGTGGAAGTTAACAGCAGGGGGACAGTGGCCATCATCAGTGAGATAACAATGAGGACAGTGGCCGTATCAGTCGGAAGTTAACTGGCAAGGGACAGTAGCCGTATCGATGAAGTTAGCTGTGAGGACAGTGGCCATCATCAGTGAGTTAACAGTGGGACAGTGGCCGTATCAATTGAGAAGTTAACTGTAGGGACAGTAGCCGTATCGGTGGGTTGTAGGGACTGTGGCCATTATCGATGGGAAGTTGGCTGTAGGGACAGTGGTAGCCATCATCGGTGGAAGTTAACTCTGCTGGGGACAGTGGCCATTATCAGTGGAAGTTAGCTGTGGGGACAGTGGCTATCATCAGTGGAAGTTAACTAGCAGGGACAGTGGCCAGTATCAGTGGAAGTTAGCTGTGGGACAGTGGCCATCATCAGTGGAATTTAACTAGCCGGGACAGTGGCCTCATCAGTGGAAGTTAACTGTAGGGACAGTGAAGCTGGTATATCAGATGAAGTTAAGCTGTATGGACAGTGGCCATCATCAGTGGAAGTTAACTGTAGGGACAGTGGCCATTATCAGTGGAAGTTATTTCATGGGACAGTGGCCATTATCAGTGGAAGTTAGCTGTAGGGACAGTGGCATGTAAGTGGAAGTTAACTGTAGGGACAGTGGCCATTATCAGTGGGAAGTTCTGGCTGTAGGGACAGTGGCCATTATCAGTGAAGTTAACTGTGGGACAGTGGTATCATCAGTGGAAGTTAACTGTAAGGACGGTGTGCATTATCGGTGAAGTTAGCTGTAGGGACAGTGGCCATCATCGGTGAGAGTTAACTGTGGACAGTATGCATTTATCAGTGGAATTAGCTGTGGGACCGATTGGCCATCATCAGTGCAAGAGTTAACTGTAAGGGACAGTGGCTGTCATTGATAGCTGGCAAGGACAGTAGCATTATCGGTGGAAGTTAACTGCTGAGGGACGAAGGTGGCCATCAAATCAGGAGACTAACTATGAGACATTTGGCGTATCATCAATGAAGTTAGCTGTAGGGACAGTGGCCATCATCAGTGGAAGTTAACTGTAGGGACAGTGGCCATCATCAGTGGAAGTTAGCTGTGGGGACAGTGGCCATTATCAGTGGAAGTTAGCTGTAGGGACAGTGGCCATCATCAGTGGAAGTTAACTGTAGGGACAGTGGCCATCATCAGTGGAAGTTTACTGTAGGAATGGGGGCCATTGTCAGTGGAAGCTGTAGGGATGGGGGCCATTATCAGTGGAAGTTAGCTGTAGGGACAGTGGCCATCATCAGTGGAAATTAGCTTTAGGGATGGGGGCCATTGTCAGTGGAAGCTGTTGGGATGGGGGCCATTATCAGTGGAAGTTAGCTGTAGGGACAGTGGCTATCATGAGGGTATTGTCTGTAGGGATAGCAGTTAACATCTTTGTAAGTTAACTGTAGGGACAGTGGCCGTCAACTCTGGAAGTTAGCTGTAGGTATGATGTCCATTATTAGTGAGACTTAGCTGTAAGGATGGCAGCTATTATCAGTGGAATTTTCATGTTTCCTGTATTTTTTGGAACAAATGGGGAGGGAGGAATTCTTAGCTGCTGAGTATGGATTTAATAGTGATTTTGAGTTGATGTGACTAGAAAAGTGGAATACACTGTACTGTACTGTATTGGTAGGATTAGACAGGAAACCTCACTTTTCTCTTTTTTAATCTTTTGCATCTTCTGTGGCAATATTTCTAGTATTTATCTTGGATGAGCAGTATTGTTTCTTTCTTAATTGATTGATAAAATTGTAGAATTTATGTACTGTGAGAAATTCAGTTTCTTATTGTATATTGTGTGGTGATATTACCAGATGAAGTCGAAAAACATCTTGAAGAATGTGCTAGCGACAACCTAATTGCTGTGACACGTAAGGTGGGGCAGAAAGGATCCAAAGTTGGCGTTGAACAAGAAGGATTCAGACTACCAACACCACCAGTAAGTGTCCTTTAATTTCAAGAAAGAAATGTGAGAAATTAACAAGAAACTTATGTAAGAAGTTGAGAATAGTATTTGAAAGAGAAAGGAAGTGATGAGAGTTCAGAGAGAATCTATCAAGGGGAGAGTAAAATTAACATTATCAGAGACAAAGGTAACTTGTAATAGGTATTAATAGTTATCAACATCAAATCTTCTCGTACTTCCAATATTCAAGACAAATAAAAATTTTCAAGTGTATTATTAATTGATTATAGAATAATATGCCACTTTATACCCAAGCTGTTGAGTTGCTCGATTGATTCTAGAGCTGTATTCCTCAACTGATTTCCTTTTTATTGTCTGGATTACTAAATTTGGAGGACAATTTGTTGAATAAAACCACATTACTGTTCACAGGAAGAGCCTGACCGTCACGATTGGTATTGCTTTGAATGTCATAAAGGTGGGGAGGTTGTCTGCTGTTCCAAGTGTTACCGAGTGTTCCACGAGATGTGCATCAATGTAGAGGACCATCCTTATGACAATGAGCCATTTGTTTGTGTAGTATGCAAGGTGAGGGTTGTACAGGTGTTGTCTTTTGCTTTGTTAAGATAGACAGACAGATATACAATAAAATTGCCATACAAGTTTAAAATTTGTTTTGTATGTATTTAGACTTTGCAGGTATACAGTTCAGCATGTACAGTATATAGACAATGCAGGATAAAGTGTACATAGACCTTGTAGGTATATAATTTCTAATGTATTTAGAATGTAGGTATACTGTACAAACAATGGTAAACAATAAACTAAGATGACTGAGGATAGCCAACAAAGCCATCAGATGCTTTTTTCCTGTAGGGTTTTGTGAGGTAGGTTGATTCTACTACTCTCATTAATAGGAATGACTGTAAGTTACTATAGAATTTATTATCTGATACAGTGACAGTTTCTGTGACACACGTTTTAGGAAACAACATGAATATTGCCATGTTTCTATGTTTGAGCGAAATAACTAACATCAGTTTAAACCTAAATGTTTATTGCGAAAAATTATTAGTGCTTTTAAATTTATAATATCCCCAAAAACTGAGTCAGGTTGAAAATAAAATCACTTGCAGTAATCCCTTGTTTTTTATGCAAAGTTAACCTAGAAGGGGTGTCATGAAATTGTTCATTTGTTAATCCTTTATATAATGAGAAAATAAGGGTTAGGGTCCAGGAACCATTGAGAGCCTTCAATAATGGAAATTTATTCTTATACAGTGGTCCATTGGTTAACGAATGGTTCAATTAACAAAATTTCGGTTAACGAATTAGCTCCCATAAGGATTTTCAGTTCGATTAACGAACAAAACTTCTATTAGCAAAATCCTTACTACAAACACGTTTTGTTGTGCGCATCAGCTGATCGACTAGTCCGCCAATACAGTAATTGGTTCTATGTTTACATTTGTTTCCAGTGAAGTAAATACAAAGAAAGTTGGTCTCTTGAATATTTCTGCATTTTTTATATTAAAATTATTGGTCATTCTGAAATTTAGTTAACATATTGATAATATAGACAGTACAGGGAACAGTTTTTGTGCGCCCATCAGCTGATTGAATCACCCAACAACGCTTCTCAGCTTAACATTGTTTACAGTGGAGTGAACATTGATTTTGTTGGTCTCTTGAATATTTTTGCATTTTTACATTAAAATTATTGGTCATTCTGAAATTTAGTTAACATATTGATAATATACAGTGCAGAAATTATTGTGAAACATGAAGAAGGCATTAGAACCAATGTATTCTGTAAAGAATATGGCATGTCATTATCGACTGCTTCTACAATCAGCTGTTTGATATGTAAACAAAGCTGCCGGTAATACGACATACACACCTCAAAGTAAGTTAAAATACAATATTTTAATGTTTTTTATTTATTTTTGTACAGTATACTGTACAGTACAGTACTGTATTTAGTTTATATTTAATGTTTTGTTAATTCTATTACTGGTATACAGTACTTTGTATGTACGTTTTCTGTGAGTTGGAACCAATTACCCAATATCCCATTGAAATAATAGATTCGGTTAACAAAATTTTTGGTTAATGGATGACTCTGTGGAACGAATTGTGTTCGTTAACCGAGGGACCACTGTATATAGCATTACAGCCCATATTTAGCATCACTTGTAAGCAGTTATATTCCTCATCTTCATCATTTTTGGCTGTTTGCCACACCTGTATGGGTTAGCTATGATTCCTGATGGCAGCTCCCTGTGCTGCATGGTCTCTTGCATCCTCTCCTGTTAGGTTTTTATCACTGATATCATTTCTTGCAACCTCTCCCCATGCCATTATTGGCTTTCCCCTGGCTCTCTTCCCCTCCACATTTAGACTGCTGCCTGCACCTGTTGACCCAGTGGGTCTCCTCCATTCTCACATGCAAAACTTCACCAATACTCTTAATACCCAATTGCTCTCTTAGCTGTGAACAGGGTTTCCTATCTTTCAGTGTCACATTGCCCATTCACCTCTCTTTTCTCATTTTAGAAGGGGGCTCCAGTCAGACCCTTGATGAATCCCTACTTTCACCCCGAGTTCCTCACTTTCCTTGGATGTACACACACCAGTTTTTGAGTACAGAATCCCCAGCCATTGGTTAATGGTTAATGTTATCAATCTTACCCACCCATTTTACACTAATGTGATGGTAAACTTTGCATATTAAAAAGAATTGTCATTACTAAAAGAAATAAAGTGGAATTGGTAAATAATAAAGTACCTAACCAAATAGTGCACAAGTATTATTGACTAGATGATCAGACCTTCCACTCACAGAGGCAACATCTGAATGGACTGTTGTACAGTATGTTGGGAAAAAAAGTAATTAAATTGATAATCTGGTCTCTTTAGGTACAATGAATAGGACAAGACAAGACACTTAACTACTGTATTGATTATTTGTACATGTGAACTTCATATTCACACAGTAAAATTTTAGGTAACATCATTACTTCTAATACATTATATAAGTTACTATTGCAAAAACAAACAGTTGGGATAGCAGAAGGAACACATTGCCTTAAAGGTATTCCGAGTACTACTGTATACTGTACTTACACAGAATAATGTCACTGAATATGATAAGTGACAGTAAAAGGGCAATTAGAATTCTAAGTTAAGAAAGTTTGTAGAAATAATTAATTAATGTCTGTTTTTCTATTATACAGAAACGTTTATATCAACGTAGTGTCAAAAGTCGCATCAATAGAGAAGACCTTAATATGCTTTTAGCATTTACAGTTGAACGGCTAAAGGAAAGAGTAAGTATGTTTTACTAGTTATATAGTATAGTATACATCATACAGCCTTACCACAATTGTTATTTCCAATTACTACTGGGCCTCTTGCAGTTAGTCTGTTTGAAAACTGCATTTATCTATTTATCACTTACTACCTTACTAGCCCTTCAGTTGGTTGGTCTGTTCTTTGTTACTCTGTTATACCATGGTAGAAATTATTATCACGGTGGAAAACTAAAGTTACCTGATATTACCTTGCAGGAATAAATTCTCCCTGTTTAGTTCATTGTATTTGTAAATTATAATGCAGCATATCAGGGGTGAGACGTCTTCATTACTCCTCACCTCTCTTCCTGAGGGTTGCTAGTTTGTGCCTAGGCCATCCCTAGCACACCCAGTTGTTCATTCATAACTAACTTACTGTTGTGGAAATAAAGGCTGTTGAGTGCAGTGCTGGCCATACTGCCACCTTGTGTCCAGAGGGCTTCGTATTAAGTGTGCTGTATCCACATGGGCTCTTAGGTCTTGAACCCACTTTTTTTATATATCTTATGTTTTGGGCTTTGTACCATTTATTGATTTGTTATATCACTTTATCTTTCAAACTATTTGTTATTGTATGATCTCTTGATATTACAGTGAACCCTCTAAGATCCGGACTAAAAGGGGGTAATCATCTGTCCGAAAAAGCCACTTATCCGTATCTTCTGGCGAATGTACTAAATGTAAAAAAAACAATAAATAATGATATGAAAAGCACCAAAAATACAGTACCATATTTTATGCCATATAAGATGCACCCCATTTTAGCAGGGAGTATTTAGGAAAAACTTTGTGTGTATTTTCTTTCTGTAGCCATAGTTTTCTTTAAATAATATATACTACAGTATACCAGGAAATGTGAGGAATAAATAAAATTACCACCAATAAATAAATTACAAAAAAACAAATACTGTATTGCCAAATCAGAAAATAAAAGCCAAATGAAAGCTTAACACTGTTGCTATTTGCATACACTCTCTGCTGCACCAAAGTAACGAAGACCTGCAAGGATGCTGATTCCCTAGCAATGCTCACACGCCCCCTACACTCTGTACTCTCCTCCCGTTATGTGTTTACCCTTAGGACAGTTATTTCTTTTACTTATTTCACAATATGTATGTAGGATGGTGTGTGCATGTCACTAAGTAAAATAAATGAAGAAAGTTATGTATATCTACCCAAAAATATGAGTTGAAAAACAACCATAACATCTCACAACTTGGCCCAGTAGCCTGATGGTTACAGGGATGAGTCTAACCTGGCTACAATGCCATGATTAGTCACTGTTAAGCTCTATTATATCAGTAAACACTAATAATAACAGTACGGTAAATCCAGTGAAATATGGCAGGGAGGGATGAGAGTTACAAGAGCAGACGACGCTCTAACTAATGGTCACTCACTCGCTCCCGTTACCAGGCGTGTGATCGAAATAATCGTTTTTTTCTAAAAAACATTTTTTTGTGATATAGTCCAGAATGCAACGCCTAGCTTATACCTAGGTATGTTAATGCCTAGCAATAACTCGCCAGGCCAACATACAGGCAATTAAAACATCTAATAATTACCTAATACATAATATTAGGAGGACACGTCGCTACCTGACATTTAATTGCAATTCTCAAAACCCCCTCCCGCACCCTCCATCACACGCACTGCCATCGGCATCTCTTGCCTTAAAGCAAGCAGTAAACAAAAGTCAACTCTCGAGGGGTCGAGATGGGTAGGTTATCGGCGTCGCATTCTGGACTGTATATCACAAAAACGGGTTTTTAGAAAAAAAACGGCTTTTTGTTCAATCCAGAATGCGACGCCTAGCTTTGAATACTCGAGCAGGAGGTGGAGAGGGAGGTGACGTTGCATACAAGGCTCCACTAGCTTAGGTCCAGATTATGATTATAAACCGTTAGGAATATTTTCCAATACAGTATTACCCCGCTTTACACGGTTTCACTTTCCGCGATTTTCTCATTTACGCGGTACCTTGCCAGAACCGGACTTTCACTTTCCGCGGTGCATCTACTCATATACGCGTGAAGTATAATTTTTTTATTTTTTTTATTTAGCTCATAAAATTCATACAAATTACCCGGCAAGAATATAATTTACATTGCTGGAATTCTTACAATATGATGATCATTTTGAATATAAACATCACGGATTTTGCATTAGACATACAAATTTTAGATCTAATGTAATAATTTGGTTTACACAGAGCAAGTATTTTATCTTTTGTGCAAAATATTTGAAGTTTACATTCAAAATATTCCCTGATATGCAAGGAATCCAGAAATGTCAATTATATTATCCTAACTTTAGTCTGAGTTATTATTTATTACTAAAAATGTAAATTACTATTTTCTCCCAAAGCTTCTCTGGTAGGGAGGGAAGGTGGGGGGGAGGGAGGGACCGACCCAGCTAGGGCGAGCATTTTGATTGACAGATAGTGTCCTTGAAGAATATTGCTTTGTTTATTTACTGAAGATATACTGTATGTTTTAGCTCATAAAATTCATACAAATTACCCGGCCAGAATATAATTTACATTGCTGGAATTCTTGCAATTTGATGATCATTTTGAATATAAACATCATAGATTTTGCATTAGACATACAAATTTTAGATCTAATGTTTACTCTGAATAAATATGTTATCTTTTGTGCAAAATATATGACATTTATATTCAAAATATTCCTGGTCTTACAAGGAATCCAGCAATGTCAATTATATTATCCTAACTTTAGTCTGAGGTATTATTTATTACTAAACCCAATCATTTCTCAGAGAGGTAGGGGCCAGTGAGCTGGGAAGAGGGGGGGATTTGAGTCCATTATTTGAATGGACATTAACCTGGCGACTGTATTTCTCTTAGATATTAATTGTGTGAGCATACCATCATAAAATTTAGATGTTTTTTTACTACAACATAGGTATTGTGTCGGAAAAAGTGGAGTTTGGGGGTCGGGCCAGTCTCTATTGGAATTAATCCCATATGTTCTGTTGTTCACTTTCCGTGGTTTTCACTTTCCGCGGTTTTCACTTTCCGCGGTACCCTGTGGGTTCAATTGACTGCGTAAATCGGGGTACTACTGTATTAGGAACATTTACCGGAAGGTAAAATGTTAATTTACATATCTCAATGAGGATACTGACTTTATTCTGATGAGGAAGAAGGTCCTGGTTGTGGAGATTAACTAGGTGGGGGAGGGGACCCCAGCACCACCAAAGGTGAAGCGTCTTTCAGAGATAGATGAAGATAGCTGTTTTTAAAAATTTTTGAAGATCTCCAAAAGCCCACTTCTTTGATCTGACTGAGGCTCATATGCTGCAAAAAGGCCACAGACCCTGCATATTTCCTGGTGTCATGTGCCAAAAATTTCTTGCCAGGGTCTGCTTGATTCACTAACTGAGATAAATATTTTGTCATTTGACTAGGAGACAATTTCTTATCATCCTGTGATGAGAATACATAGGGGCCTCGATTAGGGAATCTGGTTAACTATTCCTGAAGATTTTTAACTGGGCACAATATATGAGGAAACCTTGTCTCATCCATTAGTCATTTTATCCTAATAGGTTGAGCTTGAAAATCCTCCCTTTCATTTTTTCTTTGGATCTCCGTAGGAAAAAGGGTGACATCTTCCTCAGAAAATACCAATACAGTGGTCCCTCGGTCAACGAACGCCTCGGTTAACGAGATTTCGGTTAACGAGTTACCTTCCATAAGATTTTTAACTTCGGTTAACGAGCTATCCCTCGATTAACGAGTTTCTTACGAGCCGACCTCCACATGTTTTAGCTTGCATTTGGCGGTCCACCATCTGTAGTATTAGTCCGCCAATACAGTAATCGGTTCTAGGGGTTAAATTCCTTACCCCTTTAGTAAATATCAAGAAGTTTATACTATTCAATCATTTTAAAAGTTTAATATTAAATTTTTTAGTCATTTTAACAATTTTTGGACATAATTGAAGGTTGGGTCACTAGTTTGTGGCACGCCATCCAGCCTGCCAACACAGCATACAGGCGTCAGTCTTTGTGTCTTTTCAGTGGAGGTAACATCTCGCTTGAGACTCTCTTCAACTAAACGCTTTTTTCTGTGTTTGCAAGCAAATTATTGGTCATTTTGAAATTTATTTTACATATTGACAATATATAATGCAGTGCACTGTTGATTTAAAGAAAATAATCTTGAATTACACCAAGAGAACTAAAATTTTATGGGTGAAATGGCACCATGGGGTGACTTCTCTTCCACCCCAATGCCTTCTCTTCTCCCTTCTCCTCCACCCCCTTTCTAATTCCCATCATCATCATCATCATCCAGGAGCCTTCTACATACACACCTCAAAGTAAGTGTACTTTTCTACCTTTTTTGTTGAATCGAGGCAATTTTCAGTGAGCTGGAACCAATTTCCCAAAAACCCATTGAAACAATGGTTTCGGTTAACGAGCAACCTTCTAGAACAGATTGTGCTCGTTAACCGAGGGACCACTGTACTGTAATGATAGATTATTGAAATTGAAATCAGTTCACTGATTCTCATACCTGTTGCTATTGCTAGAAGGAAGTCTGCCTTCTGGAGCAATCTGTCCCGGTTCAGATTTATATTGTAATTAGGCCCCATAAGAAATTTAGTAACTTTTTCTAGAGACCAAGGTGGGATTCTCTTAGGCCGAGGGGGTCTCTGAATGAAAAAGGACGATCTGAGCATTTGATAAATCCTTGGGTTCAAAGTAATATTAAAACCCCAAGCCAGAGGGTCAACCAATGCTGATTTATAAGATGCAATTGTCGATCCTTGAAGGCCTTTAACTCTGAACAGAAATTCAAAAAATTCTAACAACTGTTTCTGACAATGTGTCTGGAGTCGTTAACTTGATAAATTGTTGAAAAGGTTTCCAAGCTTTCTCATATTGCATAGAAGTTTGGGGTCTATGACCTGCTATTACTTGGTTAGCTATATTGGAATTACCCAACAATCTATTTAAACTTCTTTTGAGAAACTCCAAGCGTGAAGTGCCAA